TGGGGTGTCACCTGTTACGGTCCTAAAAGATAGACGACAGACCAGACATAGTTGCGCGGCCATATTATGTAGGTAGATTATCTATATAGATAATAGACTAAAGGCTGAGATTGTTCTGCGGAATCCGTGGAAATCCGCGATTTCTTGACAGTCCCACGGGCCTCGATTTTGTGAAATCGTCTAAATTCGTTGAGGAAAATTGGGTAGGTTTGGGGTAACAATGTAAGCAATTTAAATTATAAGTAGGCTCCTCACAATGCACCGTGACTGTAAGACTGTAGAGTGTAGCAGTAGACTGACAGCGGAAGTAGTACAGTGTATCTGTTTTTTGCGTAAGCCAGGAAAAGAAATTCCTCGTCACAGGCTGCAGTAAGGGGCAGACATTTAGGTAGCTGATTCACGTAACGACCATGCCTGCTGGGGCGGGTTTGACATATGTTGGCTGCGTGGCAGTTGTGTGCATGACTATCAGCTGATTGTTTCCATCGCCATTGGTTTTTTTCTCGATTCAAATCTTTGGTCGCAGCAAGCAGCTTATGTCTGAGTTAAAAACAATGCAAAGCGACGGGTAGGAAACAGAAAAATATCATTCATGTCCTAGACATTTAATAAAAAAAAACTTGCCCTATTTTCAGCCCCCTGATTTCGCTATTATAGTCTCGTTTGTATTAACCTTTTGACAACGTTGAAAAGGTGATTCAAAAGTCTCCTATATATTTGGTTCAGAATAAGCTTAGAAATGCACCAAATTGGGCACGCATATTCTTTTAAAAAATTAGCGGGGGAGCATGCCCCCCCGGACCCGCCGCTAGCAATGGCGATACCTACGGTCCTCAGGCATTGCTCGCGTCATATGTTTGCTAAATATCAAGTTTCAGTCTGAAAAATTAAATTTATCCACATTCTCATACCTGTATATCATCTCTGGTTACAATTAGATTTTAAATTCATAGATAAAATTAGATAACTACCAAGGATATCATATCATGGCAAAACAAGTATGACATAGCACACTTAATTTACATTGTGGTCCTTGCGCTACATTAGGGCTCTACTGTTAAAGGCATAATCGACGCATCGATTATGGCAATTTTAAGCGAATGCTACAGTAACCTGGCACCGTGTGTAGTTAATAAGTTACATTACCCTTATAGGTCCAACGCCGTATCTAGTTTGTCTCAAGTATCACTGGCTGGTTACATAAGAATGTCTAATTGAAATCCGCAGTCCAAAAGAAATGCGGTTGTTGACAGTTACAAAACTCGCCATGGCCGGCTGTAACCTGCCAGAACTGGCGAAGGCGGGTCCCATATCAGATTATAGTGGGGCACCCGGACATTTTGCACGTATGCTGCGGTGTCAGTGATTTCGATCCTTGTGAGTCTGAGTGCGCATTCGTACGTTAATGTTTTACTTGAGCTTGGATTCGGAATAAATGAATATGAACGTTCTTGAGATTCACAAGAGCAAGCATATAATATGTGGCAACTAGGCAAATAATAGAACCTAGGCAACAATTTAGGCCGAACAAGACAATTCGATGTCAAACAATCGTTAAAGGAGACATGCTGACGTGCACGAACGCGAACATCGGATGTTTCTATTTTGTTGCCATAAATTTCGCGTGTCGCCAGATAGCCAAATTTACGGATTTCAATTAAGACAGTCTTAGAATTAGGCAGTGATATTGAAAACTAATACGCGTTTGGCTATAAGGTAATGAAAAAAAAAAAAAAAAAAGAAAAAAAAAAAAAAAACAAAAAATACTTATTAACTACACAAAGGTGCCAGTTACTGTAGCTATTCGTCAACTTTGCCTAATCGATTGGTCGAAATTAATGGCCTTTAGATACTAAAAACGACTATCCCGTTCTTCTTCTTCGTATTGATGTAGTCCCACTCAGAGTGGGGTCGCTAAATAATGAATAATAATCACACAATAATGAATAATAATAGAGAGATAATAATAATCACTAAACAAGCATATCTTTTGTAATGCGAAGGCACACTGAGGCGTAGCTCCTGATACGTCCGAACGAAATCTTTCAGGGCGTTTTGCTATAACGCCCAATAGAGACATTCGCAATGACAACTCTAGTCGCTTTGGTAAGACAGTCGACATCCACTTCCACACAAGCGAAGGGCATCATCGGAGGGAGCGAAGATAGAACAGTATCCTTACTGGAGAGAGTCTCTCGCATATGTCAGCCAGGTTCGAGTGTCATGGGGGAGGTGGACTGATAGAAGTAGTTGCAGCACTGCTTTATTTATTTATTATTATTATTATTTATATGAGTTAGTTTATAAATTTCCAAGGACGGTGCATTGGTAAAAGATCCTTCAAACAGGGAGCCTGCAAGCTCGCTTAACTGTGAACCTAATTTATTTCATTTCAAATCAGTTTTAGACACTATTAGTGTGAAAAAAGGTGATCAGAGCAAGTGAAAGGAGAGAGACGAAGAGAGAGAGAGGAGAGCGAGAGAGAGCGAGAGAGTGAGTGAGAGAGAGAGAGAGAGTGAGAGAAAAGAGGAGTGAGAGAAGGAGAGAGAGAGAGAAGAGAGAGGAGAGTGAGAGAAAGAGAGTCGAGAGCAAGAGAGCGAGAGAGAGCGAGAGAGAGCGAGAGAAGAGAGAGAAGAGAGAGAGAGAGAGAGAGAGAGAGAGAGAGAGAGAGAGAAGAGAGAGAGAGAGAGAGAGAGAGAGAAGATGAGGAGAGAGAGAAAGAGAGATGGAATATTATAAAGGCTGAATATTTATGAAAGGTGAAGCATGAGTCGTGTGGCGTTTTAGTTAAGCCGGAGTCACGGTCATGTTTTCGTTGCGCAGGCGCACGATTGAGCAGGGAACTATCACATCTTCTAGCTGGCAGTGCTCGCAGAATTTTTCACCAGAGACAAGAAAACTCTTTTAAGCTAGGCAGGACGTCACCAAGTACTACTAACCTGCAGATCCAGGTAAGCTTCTCTACGCTGAGTCCAGGTGAGAAGATTACCTGAGTCGCGGTGAGAGATTACGCTATCCGGTGAGAGATTACCGTGATGCCAGGTGAGGAGAATTACCTGATCCACCGGTGAGAGATACCTGATCCAGGTGAAGATTACTCTGATCTGCAGGTAACTAACTCTACTGACTCAAGGTAAGCTACTCTATACCGTGACTCAGGTAAGCTACTCTAGCTGTGACTCAGGTAAGGCTACTCCTATCCTGACTCAGGTAGCTAGTCTAACCTGATCCACGGTAAGCTTACTCTACCTGACGCCAGGTAACGGGCTACTCGTACCTGGATCGCAGGTAAGCTACTCTAGGCCCGTGACTCAGGTAAGCTAGTCTACCTGATCCAGCGTAAGCTTACGCTACCTGAACGCCAAGGTAAGCTACTCTACCTGTGATCCAGGTAGAACTACTCTACCATGACTGTCATGGGGTTGGGGGGGTTTTGGTTAAAAGCTTCTCTACCTGACTCAGTAAGCTAACTCTACGCTGACCAGGTAGAGCTACTCTACGCTGACTCAGGAAGGCTACTCTAGCCTGGATCAAGGTAAGGTCTAGTGCTACCTGACTCAGGTAAAGCCTACTCTAGCTGACCTCAGGTACGTCTTACTCCTACCTGACTCAGGTAAGCTACTCTATCCCTGACTCAGGTAACTTCATCCTACCTGACCAGGTAAGCTAGTTACCTGACTCAGGTAAGCTACTCTACCTGATCGCAGGTAAGGCTACTCTACCTGACTCAGGTTAAGGCTTCTCTAAACCTGACTCAGGTAAAGCTACTCTACGCTGCTCAGGTAAGCTAGCTACACCTGACTCAGGTAAGCTACTCTACCTGACTCAGGTAAGCTACTCCATATCCTGACTTCAGGTAAAGAGCCTACCTACCTGAGTCAGGTAACTCTCTACCCTGACTCAGGTAAGCTACTCTATCACTGACTCAGGTAAGTCTAAACTCTACGCTGGACTCAGGTAAGCAAGTACTGCTAACCTGACTCAGGTAACTTCTCTAGCCTGATAACAGGTAAGCTACTCTAGCAGTTCCCCGCATCTATCGTTGTTCACTCCGCGAGCGACGGTCTGTCGTTGTTCACAAGTGTCGCGCGAGACGTCTTACATTTAGTTCAATCGCCGCGACGAGTGGTCTCGTGTGTTCATCATGCGATGTTCATTCGCACAGGGGTATAACATCAAGTGCGAGGGCCGTGACGACGCTGGCGAGTTGCGGACATTGCGCGGGTTCGCAATGAAGGTTCTGCTGTTCGCGTGAGCCTGAGTCTGGACATCATGAAGATCCCTCGCCTCCATACTGGGCACCTCTCGCAACATACAGGTGTCCGGTAAGCTTGCTTTACATATATATATTAGTAGCAAATACATACATATATATATATAATATAATATACATAACATACATACAGGTGTCTGGTACACATGCTTATGCATATATATACATGACATCATACATACCATATATATTATATATTTACAGTGCTCGAAATAAGAAAAAAAAAAATGTCTTGTCCTGCGGACGACCAGGCATCAATCAGTGTGTCCGCAACAAATTCTGTTTGTCGCCAAAAAATATCCCAAATCTCCTATTTTCAATCACAATAATAATAGTGGTCCCAGAAAACACCAAATAATACAAGTGGTGTATGCCAGGATTTTTAACTAAGGGCCAAAAAACAGCGAACTGGGCGCAGGGGCGAAAAGTAGTGGATGTACTAATATTTTAATGGCTCCTCGCCTCCCTCTCCAAACCGGTCGTCTGCGGATCGGCGCCTGACGGCTCCTCTACCTCTCTAGCAATCTTTGTTTTGGTGCAATGCGAAAAGGCGACATTCTCTGTTCATATGTTCTCTGGCTCCCAGATATGGGCGAATTGTTCAGTGGCAAGATTCTAGGATTCCAATGAGGGGGTTGAAAAACAAGTCGGGGGTATGGGGTCCTCCCAGAAAATATTTGAAAATGTAGATCGCAGAGACTGGTATTTGCGGCACTTTTGAGTAAAATGTACAAGCCGTGAGTCATTCTGACTAACGACAATTCTCTTTTTTTTAAAACTTTTTTGATCCAACATGAATCCCCACTGTTTGTTTAGTGTTTGCAAGTGGGCAAAGCGCATCGAAATTCAAAATAGTAATGGAATAAAAATAAACAACAATGTAGGGGTGAACTTGCTGTATGCTGTTCCAATAGAGTTCACACTGCTCATAAATCAGAAAACCCTGACATAATACCAGTGTTGGACAATAGCAAGCTGGTATGCGCCGCTTCGCAACGGTGGGCTCGCGATCGGCCTCCCGCATAGATTAATGGCGGGCCGGCCAGGCTATAAGTGCTCTGAGAAGCACTGGAGAAAAACATAAATAAAAGTGCGTATTTCGTCCACATTTTCTTGGTTGTCCAGCCGGACAAATGTCTCAGACTGGTTAGGTTGTCCGCGCAAATTCTGGTTGTCTCGGACAACCGGACAACGCTTCTTTCGAGGGCACTGATATGACATATTCATATAATATAATATATATATATAAGTAATACATACAGGTGTCTGGTAAGAACATGCTTATCCATATATATATATATATAGATTACATATAGAAGTACAACACATGGACAACGAAGACATACACGTGTGTGGTAAGCACACTTGTGCATTCAAGGCAGAAGCATGGGTATCACACTCGTGGTACTGTTGAGTCAAATATTATCAATCCTGATTAGGAGAGAGGATACAATAGCGGGGGCAGCTCCCGTCAAGGTGCCTCAGAAACGTAAATTCATACTAAATAATTCATTACGTAAACTCACACTACGTTCGTTATGTCGATTCGAATGCCGCGTCTTTGAATTCGCATGCGTCACATGGCAACCACACGTCTGATTACTATATCATACATTCATACATAAACATTGTTCTATAAAAAAATTATTTGTAATACTCGTAACTAACGTGTTGGTTGAAGACGTCGATTCAAATGCCGCATCTTTGAATTCGCATGCGTCACATGGCAACCACACGTCTGATTACTATATCATATTCATACATAAACATTCTAAAAAAATTAATTATGTAAACTCGTACTACGTTCGTTACGTCGATTCAAATGCCGCATCTTTGAATTCGCGCGCGCGTCACATGTGATCGCACGTCTGATATTACAGGTCATCAGATTAAGAACATCGATGCTACACAGGTTGTAAACGCAGCGCAGACGTGCAGAGAGCAGCGAAACTCCTGCAGGTGAGTGAAGTGACACTATGCGCATGTTAGATGAAGGAGATGTGACATGATTTCATTGAGAGCAACAGTTAGCTACTGTTTAGCGCATACAGCCATCTGGGGGAGAGAGCGAGGGTTTCCATCTTTTAACTCGGGGTGAACTCTAGTGTCGTTATTTGACAATAGGTGGCGTTAGCTTACTATACTGGTTAGGTATGTCTGGTTATTTATAGATATCACAATTGGAAGTAGCCGTCTGTGTGACTTACAACGTCAGATTCATAATAAACACGATCACTTCTACGTTAGATATAACTCCCCCATCGTAAATAACAACCAAGGGTCTTTAACGCCCAAGTGAGGACTATATCGAAGACGGAAAGAGATCATCATTATACAATCAGTTGATGATGATTGATTGATTCATGAATTAAAAACTGGCGAGTTCTTTTGATAACGTGAAACAGTCGTCAAAATGTTCTTGCACCATTACCTGGATGGCATATCCACCCAGCTAATGCCCGAACCAACACGTCAACAAAATGTTTGACGAATCGTTGAAAATGCATCGGAGACGCGTGTTGTGACCTGTGATGACAGGCGCGTAGCCAGGGGGGTCCTGGGGGCCCTAGGACCCCCCCAATCAAAATCAAAATCCCCCCAAAAAAAAATTTCTCTATTTTCCTAATCCTGCATGGCCTCATTAAAAAAATTATAATTACAATTTTAATTATCAGATAGGCCTTATATATTTTTAGTATCGTATTCCAAAAAATTATTTTACAGCACTATTTTTACATTTAACCCCCAAACAAAATTTCAGACCACCAGACCCCCTTGTTACTCGCTCGAGGACCCCCCAATCTAAATTCCTGGCTACGCCCTTGTGTCCTAGGTCAACGAGCGTGAGCTGACGGCCGCTCTGACATCTCGCACGATCTTCATGCGAGGCGACTCCGTAACTACGACGATGGGAGCCGAGCAATCGCTGGACGTTCGTGATGCCCTCGTTAAAGGTAATTAGCATGACACCCTCGTTAAAGGTAATTAGCACGACACCCTCGTTAAAGGTAATTAGCACGACACCCTCGTTAAAGGTAATTAGCGTGACACCCTCGTTAAAGGTAGTCATCGCGACACCCTCGTTAAAGGTAATTATCGTGAAGCCCTCGTTAAAGGTAATCCTCGTAACGCCCTCGTTAAAGGTAATGTTGCCACCCTGTTCACCACCTTCACTGCTTCGCACGTTGTTTCACGGTTCAACTATTTAAACACTAAGAGTGAGTCTTGAGCACGTAGGAATTTCCACAATACTTCTCGTGTAATCACGCGACGCCATGTTGGTGCTCTGTCCTGGTGTGTATACGCAGTTCAAGGAGCTAGATCTACAAGGAGCTAGAGATACAAGGAGCTAGATATACAAGGAGCTAGATTTACAAGGAGCTAGAGATAGCAGAGCTCAGATATACAAGGACTAGATTTCAAGGAGTCTATGGAGATACAAGGAGCTAGATTTACAAGGAGCAGAGCTAAGGAGACAGATAACAAGAGCTGGCACGCTAGAGATTACAAGTGAGGCTCAGAGATACAAGGAGCTAGAGATACAAGCAGTCTAGAGATACAAATTAATGAGCTAGATATTACAAGGAGTCTAACTAGAGATACAATGCAGCTAGAGATACAAGGAGCTAGATATTACAAGGAGCTAGAGATACAAGCAGCGTAGAGATACAAGGAGCTAGATAACAAGAGGCATAGAGATAACAGGAGCTAGAGATAGCATAGGAGCTACTAGAGATACAAGCAGCTAGAGATACCATAGGAGCTAGATATATACGAGCTACTAGAGATACGAAGAGCTAGATAAGCAAGGAGCTAGATATACAAGAGACTAGAGATACAAGGCACTACTAGAGATACAAGGAGCTCTAGATACATAGGATACCTAAGACTTAGACAATGTAGCTGCAGATATACAAGGAGCTACTAGAGATTACAAAGGAGCGAGATATACACGGAGCGAGATATACAAGCGAGCCCTAGATGATACAAGGGACTAGAGATACAGGACTCAGAGATACAGGAGCTAGGAGATACAAGAGCTAGAGATACAAATTAAGAGTAGATATAGCAAGGAGCTAAGAGATAGCAAGGCAGGCTAGAGATATCAAGGAGGCTAGATATAGCAACTGAGAGCTACATGAGAGATACAAGGAGCTACTAGAGATACGAAGCAGCTAGAGATACAAGGAGCTAGTGATATAGAAGGAGCTAGATATAACAAGTGAGCCTAGAGATACAAGGAGCTAGATATACAAGGACTACTAGAGATAGCAAGCAGGCCTAGAGATATACACGGAGCTAGATATACAAGGAGCTACTAGAGATACAGAGAGCTACTAAAGACTCACAACAGCTAGAGATACAAATTAAGGAGCTAGATATATACAAGGAGCGCTACTTAGACGATATCACAGCAGCTAGAGATACAAGGAGGCTAGATATAGAGCTGACTATTGAGAACAACGGACTACTAGAGATACAAGCAGCTAGAGATACAGGGTAGAGTATACAGAGGAGCTAGGATCATAGAAGGCTAGTATTATAAGAAGGCTAGATAATACAAGGAGCTAGAGATACTAGAGGAGCTAGAGATAACAAGGAGGCTAGAGATACAAGGAGCTACTGAGATACAAGGAGCTACTAGAGAACAAGGAGGCTAGAGATAGCAAGTAGCTAGATAATACACAGGAGCTAACTAGAGATACAACGCAGCTAGATGATACATAGAGCTAGAGATACAGAAGGCGAGATATACAAGGACTAGAGTACAAGGACTAGAGATACAAGGAGCTACTAGAGATACAAGGAGCTACTAGAGATACAAGAGCTTAGAGATACAAGTGCTAGATATACAAGGAGGCTACTAGAGATACAAGGAATCTACTAGAGATAAGAGCTAGAGAAAGCAGTAGCTTAGATATCAGGCATACAAGGGTAGCTAGAGATACTACAGAGCTAGTCATAAAAAAGAGCTACTAAGAATACAAGGATAGATAAAGGACTACTAGAGATACAGAGGCTATAGCGATACAAGTAGAGATACAAGGGAGCTTAGATATACAAGGAGCGGAGTATATACATAGGAGGCTAGAGATACAAGGAGCTAGAGATAGCCGGGAGTCTAGCTAGAGGATACAAGGAGCTACTAGAGATGACACAGCAGCTAGAGATACAATGGAGGCTAGAGAAGCAAGGAGCTAGGAATACAATGCAGCTAGAGATACAAAATTAAGGAGCTAGATATATCATAGGAGCTACTATAGATACAACAGCTAGAGATAAAAGAGCTAGATATACTAAGGAGCCTACTAGAGATACAAGGAGCTAGAGATACAAGGAGGCTACTAGAGATACAAGGAGCTAGATATACAAGATAGACAGGGCTAGAGGATACAAGGACTACTTTAGAGATACATAGCAGCTAAAGATTACAAAGGAGCTAGATATACAAAGGACTACTTAGAGATTACAAGGAGCTAGATATACAAGGAGCTGATATACAAGGAGCTAGAATACATAGGAGGCTAGATATACAAGGAGGCTAGGACTATACAAGAGCTAGAGATACAAGGAAGCTAGAGATACAAGGAGGCTAGAATACATAGGAGCTACTGAGAAGATACAAGAGCCGTACTAGATGTATAATCTAAGGAGCGAGATATACAAGAACAGAGATATACAAGGAGCTAGATTATATACAATGGAACTAGAGATACAAGGAGCTAGATATACAAGAAGCCTAGAGATACAAGGGAGCTACTAGATATATCAAGAACTAGAGATACAAGGATCTACTAGAAGATACGCAGGTATGTGCACAGATGTATGTCATTGGTATTAACTATCGGTATTTTGCAGGAATCTATGGTCGCATGTTCATCTGGATCGTCGAGAAGATCAACAAAGCCATATTCAGTCCGAAGGCGGACAAGAGCCAGTACATGTCGATCGGAGTTCTCGACATCTTCGGCTTTGAAAACTTTGACAAGAACAGGTAGTAGCATTTCGCCTCAGATTGGTGACTTGCATAATAGAGAACGAGTTGGTAAGTTTGAGGTATTGAGTTTATGTTAATGCAAGCAGGTACCGTACGTTCCTCAAGCGGCGTTAGCTAGGGGGGAGGGTCCTGGGGCCACTAGGACCCCCCACATCAAAATAAAAATAAAAAATAAAATTCTAAATTACTATTCTAGAAATAGTATTGTCAAACAGAAACCAGCATCTAAATTGATTAAAGCACTTATTTTTACATTTAAGCCTAAAAGAAAAAAAATTTCAAGACCAAACTGTTACTGCGCTCGGAGGACGCCCCCCAATTCCTAATCCGCTGGCTACCGCCCTTACGCGGTGTCTCTGCGGTTCTGACTGCGTATAGAGAGAGAGAGAGAGTTAGGTTTATGTTCAGTGAAAGTTTGGTTCAGTTAATAGATGTGTAACCTGTGATGTAACCAGCAGTGCATAGCATGTGAATGGTGGGTGCTAGACGTAGTAAGTGTTAGTGGGAATGATTGTAACATCCACTAATATATTGCAGTGTCGTTTGAACGATTGTATTATCATAGTAAATTATAAATTGTCATTCGATTCATGAAATGAAAGGTCCTTCTTTGAATGAAAAACTTCTCATTTCATATCATTCTTCATTTTATAAATGACATATTTGTTTCTAGATAAAAATTATAACGTTCGTGCTGCATGTGAATATTTTGGTGGGCATGACTAGTTAAGTTCGTATGTTAATGTTCCTTGATGTGTTCGTAGACTAGAGTATATGCTGTGAGTGATCGTGGGGCCGCCGGTAATTAATATCCTTGGTTCATTAACGACAATGTTGACATTTCAGTTTTGAGCAGCTGTGCATTAATTATGCAAACGAGGCACTGCAGCAGTTTTTCATCCGCCATATATTCAAACTGGAGCAGGTAGAGATTGAACTGCATGCGCGTGGATGAAGCGAAGCACTGTCGCGCGGAAATTTTCTAGAATCTTAGATGTTCTTGTCTATAGCACTCTATAACTCGAACGGGAGACGGTCCACTCACCTTAGTGTGTGCTCGCTCAGACGCACGCACGCACACACACGCATACATGGTTGTACGCATGCATGATTGCACGGCTTTATATTTGATTGGACATGGGTTTTGCATCGCAATGGTGAGCGTAAGGAACACCTGGTTGTAGGAAAACATCAAGGTCAGGTCAAGGTCATTTTCATGGTCAGAAACATGGTGCGAATCGAAGAAAGAATTCTACGTGGTTATCGACTATCAAAAGTCTAGGACGTCATAAGTTTCGCAAAATTTTTTTATGCGCAACGGCTATGAAATGCTACACTTGTGATGTTATAAAATATAACATAACCATTGTCTAGTAACATGTCTATTTACCATTGTTTCTGGAACCAGGCCTAAGGATGTCATCATAAACAAATGATGATGGGCGCTTGAAAACTTGTTCAATACGTTTCATATGCGTATTTATAATGGTGTAAAATTAGCCGGTTGGTGGACGGAATAGTCGGTCGGCGTGGCAATGTCGGCCATGACGGGTTGAAACAGCCAGGTGTTCCTTGCGGCTCCCCTCTACTAACAGATATCGAATTTGAGTTTTTGTTTTTCAGCTTCTGGTGGCTTTCCGTTTAGTTCTGCATTTTTGCACACGGGAAGCTTCTTCCCAATATTGTCAGCACTCTCTCTTTCTCCCTCTCACTTTTTTTGGCATGGCTTTCTTTTTATTTTGGTGGATGTAGTTATGAGCAGTTTTGTATCAACTGGGCGAATGAGTGCCTTCAGCAGTTCTTCATCTATCATTGCTTCAAAATTGAGCAGGTACCGTACGAATGTGCACCTCTGTTTCGTGTTCGTATATAGTCCCATTGCCACTAGTGCGAACCCCACCAAGTTCTACCTATGTCATGAAGGTGAGGTCTGTAGTCCTTCGTTCTCCCATGCATAGCTTCTATTTTATGTTTTTTGTTTCAATTTTGTTTTTTGTTAAAAGTTATACCTATGTCGTGAAGATATGAGGTCTGTAGTCCTTCGTTCTCCTCTGCATAGCTTCTCTTTTATGCTTTTCGTTAAGTTCTACCTATGTCATGAATGTGAGGTCTGTGGTCCTTTGTTTACCTCTGCATAGCTTCCCTTTTATGTTTTTGTTCTTCATGGAATCTATCGCTCCTCTAATCACCGTTATTGCGTGTGATTATAGTATATTAGTTGGTCTTGCTGTTGGTTCGTGTTCGTCCCTGGCCAGCACCTTTCCTCTCCCACGGGCCATCTAGGATCTATATCTCCTGCTGTGAACCATCTCGTTATGTATGTCAAGCTGTTGCTTCTAGTTCCTTCCAGAATGCTGGCACTGAGGTATTGATGCTACGTATAAATGTTCCTTGTACTAGTGGGAAGCATTCAGTGTTCGGTCTGTCTTTTCTGTTAATCACTCACGAATCTGCTTAACGAAGCTAGCTTTCTAATGATGCACTCGATAATTTTACTCTAAGTCTACGTTCCTATCTCATGTATCAATATAAGATTACGATAAAGACTAATATAAAGTTAAAAAATAAAGAAAAATAGACCCGAAGCACAATAAAAATCGTTGCACGAAGCTAGGTTGGTGCCAAAATACTGTGTAGATGTAACGTAATTTGTAACGTAACATTATGACGTGTGCAGATGTAACTCCGATCGTGATTTCGATGTGAATTGATGATGAATTTGAAGAACGGATTTGGATGAGCCCACTAGTCCATAGTTATCGTATCAGTAAGATGGGTTTTTCGTGTTCGTCGCATGTAGGAAGAGTACAATCTAGAGGCGATCAACTGGCAGCACATAGAGTTCGTTGACAACCAGGATGCGCTGGACCTGATTGCAGTCAAGCCTCTAAATATCATTTCACTCATTGACGAGGAGTCCAGGTTCCCCAAGGTAAACGACTGAAACAGATACAGAGAGAGAGAGAGAGAGAGAGAGAGAGAGAGAGAGAGAGAAAGAGAGAGAGAGGAGAGGAGACGAGAGCGAGACGGCGAGAGCGAGAGCGAAGACGCTGAGAGCAGCGAGAGAGAGAGGCGAGAGAGAGAGACAGACAGACCAGGACCCCAGAACAAGACAGATGCACAGAGAGGGAGAGAGAGAGAGATGAGAGAGACGAGAGAGGATGAGAGAAGCGGAGAGCGAGAGAGGCGAGAGAGAGAGAGGAGAACAGATGAGAGAGAGAGAGAGAGAGAGAGAGAAGAGAGAGAGAGAGAGAGATGAGAGAGAGAGAGAGAGAGAGAGAGGAAAGAGAGAGAGAAACAGACAGACAGAAAGGGAGAAGAGGGAAAAGACATAGAGACAGAGAGAAGTGGGAGAGGGAAGCAGAGAGAGAGAGAGAGTGAGATAGAAGAGCGAGGCAGAGAGGATAGCGAGAGAGAGAAGCCGACAGAGAGAGCGAGAATGAAGAAGACAGCACGAGCAGACAGAGAGGAGAGAGAGAGCGAAGAAGAGAGAGAGAGAGATAGAGAGAGGGGAGGAGAAGAGAGAGGAGAAGAGAGAGAGAGAGAGAGAAGCAGAGGAGAGAAGAGAGAGACAGAGAGAGAGAGAACTGAGAGAGAGAGAGAGAGAGAGAAGAGAGAGGAGCAGAGAGAAGAGAGAGAGAGAGAGAGAGAGAGAGAGGAGAGAGAGAGAAGGAGAGAGAGAGAGATAGAGAGAGAGAGACGAGAGAAGAGAGAGAGGGAGTAGAAGAGAGAAGAGAGAAGAGAGAGAGAGAGAGAGAGAGAGAGAGAGAGGAGAGAGAGAGAGAGCAGGGATTGGAGAGGAGAGAAGAGAAGAGAGAGAGAACGAGAAGAGAGAGAGACGAGAGACGAGAGAGAAGGAGAGAGAGTAGAGAGAAGGGAGAGAGAGAGAGAGAGAAGAGAGAGGAGAGAGGAGAGAGAGAGAGAGGAGAGAGAGAGGAGACGAGACGAGAGAGAGAAGAGAAGAGAGCAGAGAGAGAGAGAGAGAGAGAGAGAGAGAGACAGAGATGAAGAAGGAGAGACGACGAGAGAGAGAGAGAGAGAGAGATGAGATAGACGAGAGAGATAAAGAGGAGACGAAGGAGAGAGAAGAGAAAACAGATGAGCAAGAAGAG